GGGCACAGCTTGGACTTGATGGTCTGGGAGGGCTTTTCCAACCTTAATGTGATTCTACATTGTTTTGATAAGTACTGAGCTGCCTAAATTTTTTTTAAGGCATTTTCAAACTTTTCTTAATCCAGGAAATGGTCTCAATAGTAAAAAAATGGCAAGGTCTTTGTTCAAAACGTCCAACAAACCACTTCCTGCTGAAACATTCTGAACTTCCAAGACAAGAGCTGCCAACTGTGGGGTCCCCCAGGCTGCTGTGTTGTGTTAGCAAGGATGCCCTTGGCAGTGGGGCCTTGGGCACACGGTGTGACTCTTGGGGATGGTCCAGTGCAGGGCCAGGAGTCGGACTCGATGATATTTTGGGTCCCTTCCACCTCGGCACATTCTGTGATTCTGTCTCTGAGAAGCCTCGAGTCCCTCACTGTGTGGGTGCTGCTCAAGTGACACTTCCATACCTGTTTTAGGTGTGAAGCACCAAGCAGGACCCCGATGGAGACCCCAATCCACCCCTGCCTGGACTTCCCTCCCCGTTCCATCTCCGTTCATTTGAGCAAAACACGGAAAAGGTGCACAAACCAACCCCTGGGAGACCTCAGGGCTGCTGTCCCACCCTGCCTCTCCTCACCTGTCTGTGTGGGCCTTGCTCTGGGCCCCCGTTGGGGGAGGTGGGCCTGCTCTGCTCAGCAGACTTGGTCTGGGAGCGCTCCCGGCTGCCGTAGCGGTCGCAGGAGTAGAAGCGCTGCTTCTCGGAGGAGGAGGAGGAGTGCTGCTTCCTCTCCTGGGACCGCCCGCGCTCCTTCTTGTCCTTGCCAGAGGACTCACCGGCCTGGGCTGCTGAAGGAAGAACGTTGGTCAGGGGTCACCAGCGTGAGGGGCTCCTGGGTGTGTGCAGGGAGGTCCTCGAGTTCAGGCAGGACCCCCAATCCCACCCGGCCGGCGCAGGGAGGAGGACAAGTGGCCCCTCACTGTGTTGGCATTAAATTACACCGAGGAGCTTTGTGTTAGTAGAGGAGCTGGAAAGTTTGTCAGAGGCACAACGGTGGGGTGGGGGAGCCCAGCACAGCCTTCAGTTTGGAACAGTAAGATCCTGAGCTGGAAGAGATCCACAAGGATCATCCCATCCAACTCTTGGCCCTGCACAGTTCACCCCAACAATCCCCCCCTGTCCCTGGGGAGCCTGGTCAGTGCCCAACCAGCCTCTGGGGGAAGAACCTTTTCCCAAAATCCAACCTGACCCTGCCCTGACAAGCTCCAGCTGTTCCCTGGGTCCTGTCACTACTCACACAGAGCAGAGGTTGGAGCTGCCCCTCCTGAGGAAGCTGCAGACCCTGGTGAGGTCTGACCTCAGGCACTGGGGGCTGCACCAGCTCCATCAACAGGACCCTGTTGTGCTGCTTTTGTCACCTCCTGTGGCCTTCACTGTGTGGGCATTAAACTATACTGAGGAGCTCCATGTGTGTCCTGCTGAGCCTGAAGCTGGAGGAAGGCAGGGAGTTCTGCAGACTGGATGGGCAAAAAAAGTGTCAAGTCCTTCCCACTAAAAACACTTCTTTAGATTTCTAAAATCCACACAGGAGCTGCCAGGAGGAAGGTAACAGAAAATGCCCAACAACAGGGTAGCCGAACTGGTGACAAATGAACATTTCTCTTTGGGTTAATTGATGAAAAATTAACATTTCTCTTTGGGTTAATTGATGAAAAATGAACACTTCTCTTTGGGTTTGATCATCTTTCTGCCTTATTCCAGGGACAGAAGTCCCCACTGACACCACGGGAAGTGGCAAAGCAACCAGTCCCCTTTCCATAAATCCTGGCAATGCCCTCATTAGGGTAACAGGGCACACACAGGCTCCCAAAAAACCTCGGGAGACTACACTGAGAGTCACTAATTGCTTCTACATTACCAAACCCATTGGTTTCACTCCCTAAATTCCCATGCAATGAGGGCTGTGGGCTCACCCACAAAGCCAGGAGACACTCACCAGCCTGACCATCGGCCAAGTGATGGGCAGCCCTGTCCAGGGACTTCTGCTTCTTCTCTTTCCTGCGGTGGCAGCGGTGGTGGTGGTGGTGGTGCCCCTGCTCCGGGGGCATCCTCTCCAGGGAGTACTCGTAGAGGTGCATGGCGTGAGGGCGCTGCGGGGTCAGCGTGGACACGGAGCGTTTCATGGGACTCGTGTCCGGGATGGGCTGCAAGGCAGAGGGAGGCACACGGAGCAAGGTGAGGGCAGGGCTGCCCCTGCCCCACTGCCTGGCACCCACCGTGGGCAGGGTCAGCGAGAGAAAGGGGCGAGGAGAAAAATGGTTAATTGGATACGACAGGAACAGCAGGCAGGAGGACTCGCCGGGTGGGGGATCGAGCGCTGAATCGAGGGGCAGGTGTGAGCTCAGGTGGCTGAGATGGGCTTCACTTCAGCAGAGTGCCAACCCACGGGTACCATGAGCCACAGGCAGCACTTGACAGCACACACAGCGGCACAGGGTCACCAGGAGGGCAGCGGGGACACGGGGACAGCACAGTAGCCAAGCGCCTCACAGAGAGAATCCTCCAAGACTAGTTTCACCCAAAGCTGCTTCAGGGCCTTTGTGGCCACCCCAAAGCATGAAAGCACTGCTGAGCATCACGTGGAGAGGGAGAAAGATCAGGGATAAGTGGGCAAGGGACAGGCCAAGGCACCGAGAAATTAATTCTGCCTCCCTGCAGGTAAGACAATCCCATCCAACATTTCAACCTCTCTTGTCCCACCATCACTCCTTGTGGCTGGGACAAGCAGGGGAGGAGTGTGTATGTCCTGCAATTCTACCAGGACAACTCCAGAAATGAATACTGGGGTTTGGCATTCCTGTTTTCCAATCATTTGTGGCCAAACATCTGGACACCGAGTGCAGTGACCTGCCTTCCACGGCACTGCTGGACCCCCTGCCTGTACCAGGGCAGCTCCAGACTCTGCTCCCTTCCCTGGGGATTCAAAGCCTTACAAAGATGCTCTGCAGAACCCAAGACAAGGTGGCAGGACAGGAATTCCCACAGCCTTCCCCACTGCCCAGCCACCAGGTAGAAAGCTCAGTAAAAGAGGAGCATTCCCATGTCTCCTTCTCTGCTGGCTCTGTGTGGAGACAGTGCCTCATCCACCCTCTGGAGGCTTCCCTGGCTCTGAGGAGAGACCCCAGAGCACAGTGGTCCAGTCTGAGAGGGAAGGAGTTCAGGATGTTCTCTGCTCCCTCAGCCTCACACTTGTTTGAATTCAGAGTCCAATAAGTGCCTCCAACAACACTCCTCACAGAACATTTACTTTGCTCACTGTAACCTTTTCCAAAGAGCCCTGTATTATTTTTACTGTCTGTTCTGTTTTGTTTGCTTACCCTGAAATTCAGCTCTCTGAATATCCTGTGATATTTACCCAGTGCCAAGCCAGTTGTTTCACAGCTCTGCTCCTTATTTTGAGTGGAAAGAGCCACCCTCCCTCCCATCACAGGCAGATTATCCTGGCTCTGAAGGTGCAATATGGGCAGTCAGCCAAATTTTGGTGCTTCCCACTGAAGGGCAGTTGATTTTGTCACCTCTTGTGGCCTTCAGTGTGTGGGCATTAAATTATACTGAGGAGCTTCATGTTTGTCCTGCTGAGCCTGAAGCTGAAGGAAGGCAGGGAGTTCTATAAACTGGATGGTCTGATGGGCAAAAAAAGGGACAAGTGGAAGTCCTTCCCACTAAAAACACTTCTCCAGATTTTCAAAATTCAAAATCCACACAGGAGCTGCCAGGAGGAAGGTAACAGAAAATTCCCAACAACAAGGCAGCCAAACTGATGACAAACGAACACTTCTCTTTGGGTTTGGTCCTGCTTCTGTGCTTCTGCCAGGGAATCTGGAATTCTGTGCTTATTCCAGGGACAGAAGTCCCCACTGACACCACAGGAAGTGGCAAAGCAACCAATCCCCTTTCCATAAATCCTGGCAATGCCCTCATTAGGGTAACAGGGCACTCACAGGCTCCCAAAAAACCTCAGGAGGCTGCACTGAGAGTCACTAATTGCTTCTTCATTACCAAACCCATTGGTTTCACTCCTTAAATTCCCGTGCAACGAGGCATATGGAATCAAACAAGAAGCAGAACTAACAAATAAAATAAACAAAACAAATAAAATAAACAAAACAAATAAAATAAATAAAACAACCAAATAACCCCCTCCCCTCCAGCTACCAGAGCGTGCGACGTGCAACCGTGGATCGAGGGAACAGCAAAGTGGGAAGAGGGAGCGGCTGCATCGGGCTCCAGATGAGAAGGGGTGGGGGGGGGAAGTAGAGGGTTCAAAGGCAGGTTAATAATTTCTTAGCATGAATTTAAGAGGATATACAACTTAGTGCAAACTACATACTGCCAGGTAACTCCCAGGCGACCGTGCTTTGCTCCTCTGCAAACAATTCGGACAAGATGAGAGACATTATTGGAAGCAGCCCCACAGTACAGCCATTGTCAGACATCACGGCAGATGGGCAGCAGACACCATGACGACCAGGGAGGGAGGGGATGGGGGCAGGACAGCAGACGGGGAGGTTGAAAACACGGGGAAGGTATATTTTTTTAAAAAAAGTGGAACGTAAAAAAGACAGAGGGACAGCGGGCGAACAGAAAGGGAGACAGCCAGAAACAAGAAAGCGTCGCAAAGGAGAGTTAGAAAGAACTCAAAAGTTTGGGGAGGGACAGAGCAGAACGTGAGAGGGAGGAGGGAGGGAGGAGACACACACAGAAAGTCCGTCAGTTATTCACCCAAAGCCACGACCAGGATTATTTACACGTGTGCTGTTAAATGAGGTTAGATCTGCTCGGGGATTCCCGGCCTGATTCACAACCAGATGAAGCACTTCCACGAGGGGCAGCGACGCCCTGGGGGACACAAACCACACACTTGTGCCAGGGACACTCCCTTCTGCAAAACCTGAGTGCCACGGAGAGGAGTTTGCCAAGGAAAGGCTCGCCCTGCTGGCCTTGCTGCTGCCAACCGCATCCCCCTGCACGGGAAGATGCTACTGGTGCTGCAGGATAAAGGATAACTTTGCTCTGGGAAGGGGGAAGGCAGGGAGGATGGGTTTGCTTTGGGGTCTGGTGCTTTTATTAAGCATGTTGAGGAGTGCTCCTGATAACGCAGCGAATCCCAGCTCACACAAAGGCTGCACCTTCTGAATTCAGCTGGGAAATTCGGTGCTGAGGGGCAGCCTGTGCCAGCCCTGGCACGTTGGCACAAAGATTCCAGGTGCTGGAGCTGCTGCCATGTGTGCAGAGCACAAGCTTGGAGTTTTAGGGTGCAGCAGCTCTTTCACGCTGCATTCTTCCATTTCTCTCCACAGAGAGCAATGGAAACAGCCCCCAAACCCAGGCTGCTCCCTCCTGATCAGGAATCAGGCCCCTGGAATGAGACATGAGATGTTCTGACACACAGGAGGCAGGGCAGTGGCTGGAGAGTATTTGGGACAGTCAGCAATGAACATGTGGAATGGCCAGAAATGGTCTCTGACATCCTACACACACAAGCTGCTGTAAAAGCCAACTCTCTGATGAGATTTCTTTAGGAAAAGCTACCCAAGGGAAATCCTCAACACCATTTCACTGGCCAAACTCACAGGTTGAGTTGAGTATGAGCTGAGTATGGTGGGAAAAGGGAAAACCAGGAGGATGCTCAGTGTCCCAAAGCAGCATTCCAGGCACAGGCTCCCTGCTGGGAGCACAAAGATTCCATGGGCTGGAGCTGCTGCTGTGTGTGCAGAGCACAGGCTTTGAGTTTTAGGGTGCAGCAGCTCTTTCATGTTCTGCTTCCCACAGAGAGCAATGGGAACAGCCCCCAAACCCAGGCTGCTCCCTCCTGATCAGGAATCAGGCCCTTGGAATGAGACATGACATGAGTGGGGAGATGTTCTGACACACAGGAAGCAGGACAGAGTGTTTGGGACAAACAGTCAGCAATGAACATGTGGAATGGCCAGAAATGGTCTCTGACATCCTACACACTAAGCAGTGTCCACGAATTGCTGGAGAAGTGACTCTATGATGGGATTTCTTTAGGAAAAGCTACCCAAGGGATCTCCTGGACACCATTTCACTGGACAAGAACAGTACAGCACGTGCTGAGTGTGGTGGGAAGAGGAAAAACCAGGAGGATGCTCAGTGTCCCAAAGTAGCATTCCAGGCACAGGCTCCCTACTGTTCTCTCCTACATTCATCTAAGACAGTCACAGCACATCTCCTGATGTTTCCAAGGCCAAGGCACATGAGCATGTCCTGCTGAGCTGTCTGATGATGACCCACAGCTGGCAATGGGAAATACATGTCTTTCTCTGGCAAGTGGCATTGCCCCCAGTCAGTGAGGACACCCTTGGGTGGGCAGCCCTCAGCCCCAGCCAGAGGGATCCCTCTGGGCTGCTTTTTGCTGCAACCAGGGGTGAGTAAAACCGGGGACAGCACTGTGACTACACATCAATACCTGCTGGAATAAAGGCTTCCTGTCTCCAGATCAGCAAACACCTCCTAAAACAAACATCCACAAGCAACACAACAAGCAGAGAGAGCAGCCCCTGAGTTCCTGGCCCCCTCCAGCAGTGAGGACTCCCCCGCTCACCTTGGTTTCGGCAGCCAGGCGTGGCATGGAGGCCGCCCGGCCCTGGCTCTCCAGGCCTGGCTGGGGCTCTCCATTGGCAACTGTGGGGCTGATTTCCCTCATTTCTACCACCTGATGGAAACATGACATGTTTTCAGTAGCAAGAACATGAACATCAGCTTTGAAGCCACCACCTGAGCTTTGAAGCCGTCACCTGAGCATGCTTTGCTAGGCTGGATGTCGTCGTGAGGAGATGGTGGGATGGGACAGAGAGTAAATGAAGAGCTGTGGAGAAGGTTACTCTCTGTCTGCTGGGCTTTCTGCAGCAAGGACAGCACTGGGCCGGGCTCTTCCAGCAGCCACGAGCCCCAGGTGTGACCTCTGAAACCCCTGACCCGAGCTGGGACACTGATGGCACTGGGGCTGAGACAATGGGAAGGGATAACCTTAGGTAGCCTATTGCAGCAAGACAGAATTCCATGGAAAGGGTGTCCCCATCACAGCTATCAGGCTGTGGAAGCTGTTGGGATTTGGTCTTCCCTCATAAGCAAATTTGGGGTTGTAAGAGCAACACTTGCCTCACGGGGCAGCTCGACCATTTCATGCGTGTCACCCTCTCTTCACCCGGTTTCCTGAACATTTTCTACGATTTCTAAAGTCCTACCACAGCTGTGGAATCTCCTGCCCCTCCCCACGCCCTGCCCTCCCACCTGCCCCCCACGTGCTCACCCGTTCGATGGGGATCTCCTCGGAGTGGCCTCGCTCAAAAGCCGGGGTCCTGGTTTCATAAAACACGTCCTGGGTGCGCTGGGTCCCCCAGGAGCTGGACTCTTTGATCCCCCCCTCTGGGGCTGGGCTGCCAGAAGGAAAAGAGGGAAGGAGAAACAGTCACTCCTTCACAAAGATGACTTTGCTGAACTCGCAGTGGGGCAAACTTGGGAAACCAGAGCTGCTGGTGAAACTCTGAGGTCCCATGGGTTTCTCCAGGATCACATCCTACTGAGCCTGAAGATCCCACGAGAACAAGGAAATCACAACAGCCATATTTTTTTTTTTTTTTCAGTAACTGAGAAAAGCAATTTCTGTGAACTTAATTCCTGATGAAGAAGAACGAAGAATTTTGGAGCTCAGGCCAATTCTGTGAGCGGGACAAGCTGGACAGTGGTCAAACACCAAAACTAAAGGACATTCACTCAAAGTCTAGTGGCACCCACAGGTTTCACTGCTGAGCCACTGGTGGCTTCCAAAATGCCCCCATCAGGGTTGTTTGGGATGTTTTAACCTCAGATGTCTATCCCTAAAAATCCACAGCAGTTGTGTGACCCACACAAGTCACCTGGAGAGCAGACAATGGAGAATTCCTTAGGGAACTCTGTTCCTAGAACTGTTTGGAAAGCTCTCTGGGGAGGGATTATTTTGCCCAAAGAGACACATTCTGTCGTGGCAAGTCTAAAGAAGCTCTTGCTGTTACCAAGTGCCCTGAGCTCCAGGGATGACCTTGTTCCCAAGGACCCCCTGGACTCCCAGGAACTCCTTGGTGGATTGGGGTTTGTTTGGTTGTTTTGCAACGATCCCAAATCCCCGCGAGGAAACTCCCACTCACAACCACCCACAATGGAAAGCTCTGCCATGAAGATTCAAGGGAGACCACTGAGGAAACACAAAGGTCTGGAGACCCCAGTGTCCCACCCCAGGCAGCAGCGGGAAGCAGAGACGGACGGAGGCGTTTTGGAAGCCACCAACGGGAATCGTCCCAGCCACGGTTTGACAGGACTGCTGGTCTTGGTGCTCCCACTTCCAGAGCCATGGAACTGGGGTTGATGGACACACCCAGTGAGGGCTTTGTGGGGGGTCAGGGGATACTCACAGAGCACCCCCGTTGTTGAGGGAGGCCGAGCTCTTCTGGCGCAGGAAGGCCTTGGCGTTGTTGAACGCTGTGGGCTGGGTCTGCTCCAGGGTGGCCTTCAAGGGGTGGAACAGGGACACTGGGCCAGGCTGCCAAGCACAAGGGAAGGGTGTCAGAGACACAGCTGGCATGGGCTGAAGGGCTTTCAACAAAAGTCCACTTTGCCACGCTGGGAGATGAGCCCAGCACAAAGCCCAGCCCAGCACAAAGCCCAGCCCGGCCCAACCACGGCTGGGAGAGGCTCTGAAGGACCTGCTGCCCTCAGCTTTGTACAAGTCAAGTCATTGCACTGCAATCCCCCATCCCTCTAAGTGTTCTCCCAGACTGGGATTTCCCTCAGGGCTGGGATTTCCCTCAGGTTGTGAGACGGGCTCTGCTGCAGCCACCCACAAGCAGGACAGATCTCCGTGCCCTGCTGGAGCTCAGCTAAAAACAACACCCTATGAGCACCCTAAAAACAACAGCTGTTTGTCCTACTGGAAACCACTGGGGTTTCAATCCCAAGCCATTTGTGTGGAAATATCACAGAATATTCAGAGTTGGAAGGGACCCCCCAAGGATGATAGAGTCCAACTCTTAAATAAATGGTCCATGATCTTGGCATGACCAGCACCAAGTTTTAACCAACTGAGCTAAACTCAGGGTCGAAATACTTTCAAGAAATACTTCCAAGAAATGGCAAAAAAACTTAAAATCTATTAGAGCCAAAATGTTTTTGAATAATTCCCATTAGAGCCCAAACGATTTTCAATAATTCCCATTTTCAAAAGCAACTCACAACATTTTACAGCCAAACTACCCTCAGCTTTCACTAATTCTTTGATCTCCCCCAAAGAAATCTTCTGGTGTTCCCCAGTCCCTGGGCCACTTCTGAAAATAGGATTTAGACTGTCAAACATCAGCTGACATTTTTTGGAAAAAGTCTTTCTGGATCTCCCGGAAAAGGCGACTGTAACAATTTTTTTTAAATAGTTTTTCAGAGAGACTTTCAGGAGGGGTTTTGATTTTTGAGACAGCATTTTCCAACCCTGCCTGGAGAAGAATGCAGAGTTTCTGGATGAAACTTGCTGGTGAGAGCTGCTCAATGCTGGAAAAGGGGCTGCCCAAGAGAGAGGATGGAGTAAAACTCCTTTTTGGTGGGTACCTGGCAGAGGCCTCCGGGGGGTTGGACTTGTTCCCTGCTGTTCTTATTCTGCTTGTAGAAGTCAAATATCATCAGTGCCGCGTAGACCTTCCCCACAGTCATTTCATCAGCTGCCAGAGGAGGGTGAGACATTGAAACATGAAAACATTCCAAGGATGAGAAGCGCAGGGTGAGTCAAAAAGCACAAAAAATAACAGCAAACGGGTACAAAAAACAAGGAGAAGGGAGAAGAAACATCAGAATAAGGAGGCAAAACAGACACAGAAAAGTAGGGGAAAGAAAAAAATGATGAGGAAAAGGTTACAACAGACTTCTTCAGCTCTTTGCCTGTTGCTGCCTCTCCCATCTGAGATCAAACACAGAGATCACGCAGCAGAAACCAGGCAGGAAACCTCTGTGGCATTGTAAGCACTGCTGAGAGAACTACTAAATTCATGCCAGATCCACAGCCAGCTTGTTGTCAAGAAAAAAAAAGCCTTATTCCTCTTTGTTTGAATTACAGTCAAGCTGGGCATAAGGGGCTAAATAAACATTTAAAGAGCATTTCATTTTTCCAGATGTCTTTTTCCACCCTCAGAGAGCCAGAACCAGTCCTTCCCTACACAGCACTGGAGCACTCACCATGGAGCAGGGAGTTGGGGCAGCAGATACAGAGGGCAGGGAAAGACTAAAGCAGTCACTGCCCACTGATTGGCACCTCCTCAGCAACCTCATTTCTCTTAATTAACAGTGCCCTTATTGCTCTGCACTGCTCTTCATTAATCAGGAACCCAGAAGCCTTGGCTGGGCAAACTTTCCATTTTCTCAGCACATTCTCCCAGGGCATCATCAACCCAAGGGCCTTTAGTCCCCAAAAGGCCTCACTTCTGATTCTCTGAGTTCTCAGCAAACTTTTCTTCTCCTGGTTTTCAGGAGCTCAGATGGGAGAAACTGCTCTCCCATCCTGCAAGGCACAGGCTGGAGGCTGACAAAGCCATGGAAAAGCCCTGGAAAAGGCCACACTCTTGGCCTTCTTGCCACTGTTTTGGGGTTCTTTTCCCCTGTGTACAGAAAATCTCCTGTAGCATCGTGAAGTCCACACCTAGACGTGACCTCAGCATCCCTGATCACTGGGTGACCCTGGAATGGCAGCACAGAGGATGCCAAGAAGCTGATTCCACATGACTGTGTGCCCAGATGGGGCTTGGGACAGCTCAGGCAAGGAGGGGGAAACCTTTCCTGGGCTTCTTGAGTGGCTGGGCTGGATCCAGTGCTTGCTGCTGAACCACTTACGTTTGTGAGGAGGCACCAGCAAATCCAGAGTCTTCTGGGACAGGTTGGGCCAAACCAGGGAGATCTCCTTTCTCAGCTCAGCATCACACTGGTGCTGTTTAACTCCACCTGCAGAGAGGGAGGGGGGAGGCACAGGAAGGTGAGTGAAAACCCTTGTCCTGGCAGCACATCCCAGCATTTGCATCCTCATCCTCCCATTCCTTGAGAAGGGGGAGCCAGCAGAGCTGCAGCAGATGTGGAGAAGGGAACTGGTGGCTCCCTCCATGAAAACAGTGTGTGAATCCAGCAGGACCATCATCACCTCAGCCTGCTGACCCTCTGCTCTTACCTGGGGCTTAAACTTAAGCTCAGACTTGCTCCACCTGCCTGCAGGTGCCTCCTGCTTTAGGGCACTGGGAAGCACCCCCAGGAAGCAGCAGCACCTCCCAGGTGGGATGCAAAGGAGGTGTTGGACATGAATCATGGAATGATTTGGGTCAGAAAGCACCTTAAAGATCCTCCAGTTCCTTGGGCAGGGACACCTTCCACTGAGCAATGCCATGAGGGGTGATAAACCCCCTCTGCCACCAACCCTACCCAAAATCTTTGGCAGTGAGACACTGCAGGTTGTTCTGTACCAGCAGCTCCATCTCAAGGTAAAACAGAGCTGAGCTGTTCAAAGGGGCACAGTGAGGCCTTAATGCAGCAGTGGGAAGTGATTAAAGGCTGTGTGAGCCAACAGGGCAGCTCCCAGCTGAATGCTCTGCACAGGAGCCAATTAACTAGTTCATCTGAATGACAGAGATTATTTTTCTAAGAGAAAAGTACTGGGAGGAGGCTCTGGGTACTCTGTTACACGGTGGTTTGAACTCCCACACAGCAGCTCATTAGGGAGGCTTTATTAAGGGCCTGTTAGTCCTACTAAAGACTCAATTAAATGTAGCACATGAAACCCATTCAAACGAGCTCATAACAACACAACAGGTCAAAACCTCACACCCCACAGCAGAGAGAGAGCAGGGAAAGAATCCGGTGCTATCAGCTGAGCTCTCTTCTCTGGTTCCTTCCAGGGTAGAGCCAAAAAAAAGGGGGAGGGGGAGCCTTTTCCAGTTAAAAAGGCTGTTTCAGTTACCATTGAGTTACCAGGTAACTGGAAGCTGAAAATAACACAAGCTTTCAGCATCCTCATCCAGAAGTTATTCCTGAAATAAGGTGCTGGCCCTTAAAGTCCCAGGAAATCCTAAAGGCATCCTTAGAAAGGAGTGTCTGATGCTCAGCATCACTCCCCGAGTTTCACTCCCTTAGGGAGCCCCAGTGACCTCCAGAGTTTGCCTCCTTCCAGCAGTGCCAACCCAAAGCATCCCAGTTTCAGCAACACGTGAGGGGGGTGATTAACACAGGGAGGTTGCAGTGGTGGCTTAAAACTGCTTAGGAAAGCACAAAACCCACCCCTGCCTTGCCCTGTGCTCATAAGAACGTTGTTACCTCCTGTTAACTTTTAAATTAGGCATAAAAGTGCTGGGGCCAGGCATGCCTTGATTGTGACCCCAGCCAGGCTGATTAAATGCTGTAGTGACCCAGAGAAAAGGCCAGTGTGTTTTATTACATTACAAAGTTTAATTGGGAAGTCAAGTAAACGCCTGATTAAACACTTAAATAATTTTATCTCAAGGCAGAATGTGGTTCAGGGCACTTGGAGTCAGTGCCTGGCTGCCAGCAGAGAGCAATTGGGAAGGAAGGGCTGGTTTTCCCCCATAGTAGAATAGTTAAGGGGTGTGGAAATTCTCATTTCTGTTGAACAGCAATAAGCACACACAAGGATTCTTCTCCTTTGAGAGCTCTCCACTGGGATGGCCAAAGATCTCCAGGGATGCAGCCACCCCAAAGGCAGAGGGATGCTCAGGATCCCTCTGTCCCTGCCCCAAAGCTCCCTTGCCCTCAGGTGCTGGCAATAGGAAAAGAGGATTTCCACCTGGAGCAGAATTCCTGTGGTTTTGAGAGGACACCAAGCCAGCAGATGAGCTGGGGGTTGAGCCACGTGTGCTCTCAGCACACTGGAATTGTCTTCTGGTTTTCCAGAGCTCAGATGATAAAAACTCCCATCCTGAAAATACAGGTTGGAGGCTGACAAATTCATGGAAAAGCTCTGGAAGAGGCTACACAGGGCACTGGTTTTGGTTGTTTTTTTCTATGTACAAGAAATCTGCTGTGCCATAATGAAGTCCAAGCCCAGATGTGGCTCCAGCTTCCCTGATCCCTGTGTGACCATGGCACGGCACAGAGGGTGCCAAGGAGCTGAACTGCCCTTGTTTCCTTTGCTGTGCCCTCCAGATGACTGTGCCATCCCCTCAGACATCCCCTTCTCCTCACCTGAGGCCAGTTTGATCTCCAGGGCAGTTCTGATCAGGGCCATCAGCGTGGATGTGAAGTGCACGGTCAGGTCCTCGGGGGAGATGGGCATGTTCATCCTCACCAGGCGCTGGGGAGGGAAACACTCGCCGTGAGGGTGGCTCAGGATTCCTCCCCCCACCCCGCCCTCCCCTCTGCCAGCCCTTCAAACACCCAGACTGAGGCATGGGGGAACTTTTTGTGTGCTGAAATGCAGCCCCTGGATCTCAGCTCCTGTCCAGGAGCAGGGCTGAGACACCACAGTGGCTCTGGTGGTTAAACGAGGGGGTTGCCAGCACTGCACCAAAATCCTGCAGGGAGTTCTGCCAAAAGCAGCCAGTTGGGATGCTCTGAACCCATTTCCCAGCCTGCTGCCCTGCTCCTGACAGTCTCCAGTGATGCTGCAGCTCCAGATGTGTGGCTGGTACCCAAAGCAGCGATAAACCACAACTCCACCTCCTCCACCCTTTCCTACACCTAAATGTTGGTTTTACAACAGGAGAAACAGCAACAAATGGGAGCTGGCAGCGCTGAAGGAGGGAAGCTGATGGAGGATTTGCATCTGCAGCTCCATCCTGAACGTGGCTGTGCCCCTTCCAGCTGTGCAGGCAGCCTGGCTGGGGAGTGGGACGTGAAGGAGGCCCTTCCAGTGACAAGGAGGGCTTTGTCCAGGAGATGTGCAGTCCCTGAGTGGGCCCGTGGTGGGACCACCTCAGAAACAAGGCTGCTGAGCCCTGTGATGTGGCTCAAGCACCTGGGGCAGCTTGGGACTGGCTGCTAGAAGGTGAAGGTGTCCACATCTTCCCACTGGAGACCCCTGAGTTCTGGCTCTTCCCTCCTTGCCCTGTGGGCATCCTTGTCTCCTCCTTCCCTTCCAGTCAGTGAGCTACACAGCCCCATCCAGACCTTCCCCATGGATTAACATGAGCAGAACTGTGATTGCCACCATGTTCTTAAAATCCAAATGTGGAACAGTCCCTCAGGATCAGCATCTTCCAAGATTTTCAGACCTGGCAGCTACTCCTTCCCCCATCATCATCCAGGGCCACCTCTGACAGGGCAAATTCATCATTCTGGTAAGCAAGGAATTGCTTTGGAAAGCTGGGGCTCCCCTGAACCCCTCTGGCAGCAGAGCATGGACGTGCTGACAGGGGGGAGGACTCCCCAAGTCTTGCTGATAACCTGAGCCACACATTTAAAGGATGGGTTTCTTCCCCTTCAGCAACCTGATGATCTATCAGCTCCTCAGCTCTCACCAGCTCTTTGGAAACGTCCTTGTCCAGAGCCATATCAGCCAAACCTGGAGCCATATCAGCCAAACCTCAGTGTTTCCACTCTCCAAGGGAATGTGGAGCCTGAGGAGGTCACTGGGGGTTGAGCTGCCTGAGCTGGAACCCCCAGGGGCAGCTTGGCCAGGGTCCCTTCCTGGGAGGGAACTTCATCCCCATCTGAGAGCTCCTTAAGCTGATTTTTTTTTCTGATCTCTGTCTCTGCACAGAACCCCTGTCTGTGTTTGCCAGCAGCCCCAAGTGCTGTCAGAGAGCTGTCAGTGGGCTGCAGCCCCTCCCTTGGCTCTGGGCACAGGGCTGGCAGTGTTTTCCAGAGCTGCAGCTGCTGGTGCAGCCCCGCTCACCCTCCTGGCTGGCACAGGGAGAACGTGTGGCAGGAGCACCTCTGCTCGTGGGCACATTTTGGGTGAAGGGAAACAGGTTGTGGGTGAGAGCAGGGACCTGCTGGAGCCTCAGGTGAGGTGAGAGGCAGAGTGGTCCCTGTGAGCCCTGATTCTTGCTCCTGTGCTTCACCCAACCCAAACCAAGCCTTGGTCACCCTTTCCATCCCTGGTTTAGCCTCCCTGCTTGGAGCAATCTCTGACACAAACCTCCCAGAGGTCTGACCTGAGCTGCCTCAGAATCACAGCCTGCTCTGGCTTGGAAGGGACCTTTAAGATCATTTTATTCTCATCTCTGAGACAAACTTTAAAGCTCATCTTCTTCCACCCCCCTGCCATGGGCAGGGACACCTTCCACTAGCCCAGCTTGCTCCAAGCCCTGTCCAACCTGGCCTTGGACACTTCCATTATTTATCTTTTCACACATCTTGGGCTCTCATTCCATGCTGGAGAGATGAGAGACCGGTGTAACAACCTCTCCCATCTCCTAAACTCTGAGACAAAACACTGGAATCTCCAAGATCTTCCTTCCAGCGTGCCCAGGGTCATTTTCCATGTCTGTCCAGCCTCAGAGACAGGGAAATCAAAGCCCAGACTTCCCTCCCTTTATAATTCATGGACAGTATCAAATGCTGGCAACACCACAGGTTTGGGTTTCTGTTCACTCGTGTCAATGAAACAGGATTTCAATTGAAATTTCTGCCCTCAGCACACAAAAAGTTGCAAAAAATCCATCAATGAGAGTCCACAGTTACCACTTGGAGAGTCCCACTGAGTCCCACTTCAGTGGGAGAGAATTAAGGGATGGAGAGAGAGAGAGAGAGAGAAGATGCATGGAAGTGAAGAACAAGCAGATGAGAAATAATTCCCCACAGGAGAGCTCTATCCTCACAAAAACTAGCCCCAAAAACTGGCACTGACACATCCCAGGTCCCCTCAGCTGATTTTCCAGACTGAATTCCCAAAGGACACGGAGGCAGAACACAGGGCACATCACACCCCTGCTGTACAAAGGCTTTTCCTCCTAAATTTTAACCAGGAGCATTTAGGGAAAGGTTTTCCAGGGGGAATTTTTTTTTACATGCTGAGCCAAACCCACAGAGAAATTCCAGGCAGAGGTGCCACCAACAGGCACCTGGGAGAGGCTCTTCCCAAAAAGCACCTCCTTTCCCTCCTCTCCCTGCCATTCCCTCCACACACTTCCTGGTCTCCAGCAGCATTTTTTCCATCCCAAGTGTGCAAACTGGTCAAACTGGTCCACTCAGAGACCTTCTGATCGCTGTGATTTCCAACCTGACAACCAGAACTGAGCAGAAAAAGTGGCTTTGTGCTGCTCCTCAGGCATCTCCCAGGCAGGGATGGGATGTGTCCCTCTCTCCATCAGGGTGGAAAACCGGGATACATCTCCCCATCCTTCCCTGACAACCAGTCGAGGAGAACTTGCTCAAGGCCAGCTGCAAGTTGCACCTCCCAGGGCAGAGCATCCACCCATTTTTTACCCAAAAAAAGCCCATAAAATGAGCTAAAAGTACCTAAAACCTGCTGCAGCCAAACCCTCCAGGCCTCAGCCACAAAATCCTTCCCAAAATCAGGGAAATCCGCTTCCTTGGAAGCCTCTGAGGCGAGAAAATAACGTTGCTTAAATAAATATATGGCATTTCTGGGAGAGGAAGCAGTTGGGGGAAAGGAGTTGACTCATCTTGGATTCAAAATAGCTTTGCCACCAGGATGGGTGGGAGGGGAGGGAGGAGGTTGGTGAGACCTGAGCCCAAACCCAAACCCCCCTGGGCACCCAAGGGTGCCAAGGAATCAGCCAGACACTGGCACAGCCACCCCTGAGGAGGGACTGGATCCCTGAACATCCCTGGGGTGTTTTCCTAATTCCAGAAATGCAGCTGAAAGGCTAAAACAAGATGATATCTTCATTTTTTTCCTCTACTATTATGAAACAACCCCATACATAAAAATATCTCCTTGTGCAAAGCAGGAAATTTCAATCCTTTCCAAACCACTTGCTAATTTTACCTGTATTTTAATTCCCTACAGGACCCATAAAGGAACTGGAATCCAACTGAAAAGTGGGGAAATTTCTCAAATATTTTCCTTGACCCAAAATTTTCTCTTTGGAAAATTCATCAAGAACTTTTGATTTTCATCCTTAACCAGCAGAGAAAAAATCTCAGTGTTG